GCAGCAGCAGCAGCAGCAGCACGCATTACAGCCATCCTAAGACGCCCATACTTTCAGTCCGACCTGGAGCTGAAGAGCAACACAGGCTAATCCACCACCTATAAAGAGACGTCTTAGCGTCGGCGGCTAATTTGTTTACGTTCAGGCTGCAGCAGCGCCGTGTGTGTGTGTGTGTGTGTGTGTGTGTGTGTTGTTTTTGGTGTGTGTGTGTTGTTTTTGGTGTGTGTGTGTGTCGCCATGAGAGGCCTAGCTGCGCTCACAGGGCCAATCCTGCTACTCCCAGTTTAGACTCGCTGCAGCAGACCACACTCGTCCAGTTACAGAGACTAATCTGGCCCTGGGGCTGGCGGACCCGACACAGGCCGCTCAAATATTAAAACACGAACCTTTAAGAGACCGTGTGATTGGGGGAGGGGGGGGATTGCCCAATAACTTAACGGAGGAGTATCAATTATTAGCGCGACGACTGAATTACTAGCCCCTTAATTAGACCGTGTATGAGGCTGTACGCATGCGCCAACAGGATGAAGGCGAGAGTCCCGTGACTAACATTATCATCTTCATTGATCAAACAAAAACAATAATCTCTTTTCAAGCTCCACTATCTGCAGTAATATGTGTCAAAACTTGTTTATCTTAATATTGCACTTTATTTTAAGCATTTTACGCAATAATAATAGATTTAATATTGTTTATGTTTGTGTCTTTATCACTTTGTCATAACTCGCGCTCCGATAATGCTGCCGTACTCTTACACGAATGCACACCTGTGATATATCGAGTGTGAGATATTTATTCAAAGTGAATAAATCAGTAAAAATAGAGGTTATTTCTTTCTGCATGTGCAAACTGAATACACAGTACGTTTGGTGGCGCTGTGTGCAGAGGGGACCAGCAGAAAATATGTGCACACAGCAACAAACACAGCGTGAAAAATACATGTTAAAATAAGAAGGGGGATACTCACTTTCTCCGCTTATTAGTCCACACTGGCATATAATGCAGGTGCCGAGGATAAAAAACACAATTTGTGCTCGCAGCTTTAGCGTCCACCGTCTCATTTTGACTTGAAGGTAAGTTGTTCTCTCCTCTTGTGAAGAAAAACAAACCTTCAGGGGGAAATGTTTATTTAAAAAAAACAAAAAAAAAAACGCTGGAATATTAAAAAGTATTCAACAAATACTTCATAAAAAAATAAAAATAATTAAGGTCCAATATAGCCAACTGAGTCGAGGCTGCCCCCCGCAAGCTTACGGGGGGGTTGGGTAATAAATTTATAAGTATCTTCCCAGCCAAGTTTGTGATGTATGTGAGCCCTGGAAAAAATGCAGACCACTAAATAACGTGATCTTCGGTTCTGGCAACACATGTGCGAGTAAAGATCTTCATTTTCCATAAGTGGAGGCGACAGTCCACGTTCATCTGTAATATCTCGGTGCTCCACTGAATCAAGTAGAGAAATAACAGTATTAGTATTATTAATAATAATAATACCCCGCACAGCAGAGAGGGGCTAGTTTGGAGGTCCCCGAAGAAGGTCCACTGGCCCCGGGCTCATTTCTCTGTAATGCACAGCTCCGATGAGGGAAGACCCACTTTAAAAAAACAACAACAACAAATGACTAATAAAGTATTTTCACAGCCTCCTCTTCTTCCTCTTCTTCCAGCAAGTTGTGGCTCAAACACAGAGCCAAGACCTGGAGTTGGCTCTGTCTCTCTCTCTCTCTCTTTCTCTTTCTCTCTTTTCTTTTTGAAGTCCACAGGTCTTTATATTACCCCCTGGTCGCTGCTATCTCCTCGGGAGCTTTTTTTTTTTAAAGACAGACGGGAGCACATCCCAGGAAACTCCTCCGAGCGGCTACGTGCAGGAGAAACGTGCAGCTTTTCTCTCCCCCTACTACGACCTTCCTCTGAACTCCTTCACCCCCGCTGACCGCCGCCGCGAAACGGATGAACACCCATAAAACGACAAAACGGGAGAAAAGAAAACAAAGCGGAGGAGGGAGGAAAACTTGGGACGTAATAAAAAAAAAAACACAACAAAACGTTACTTCTTTTCCCATCCACCGTGAGAGAGAGAGAGAGGGAGGGAGGGAGGGAGAGAGAGAGGAGGAAAGGAGGAGAAGGGGAGAAAAAAAAAACATACACGTTTGCTTTGAAGTGAGAAAACTCTCCACCACGCCGCCCGTTTCTTTTTCTCAGATTAACGTTAGTAGCCGTTGGAGAGGAGGAGGGGAGGAGAGAGAGAGAGAGAGAGAGAGAGAGAGAGAGGGGGGAGAACAGCTAACGTTAGCCTAGCCCTAATCCAAAAAAACGAGTCGATAGAGTTAGAAGATAAAATAAAATAAAATAAAAACCCTCGCAGGCGCACAGAAAGTCAGTATCCCGTCTCCGGTAGTGAAAAAACGACGAGGTAAACAAACGTACAAAGACTTAAAAAGACGGGTCAAGTGTAAAAACTTGGATTCCCGTTCCGTTTTAGCGATTGCTCTCCCTCAGGTTCCCCCTCTTTCCGTCTCTCTTTTCTGCGAGTCTCTCCACCAGTAAACAAGTCCTGCCAGTCACCTCAGCTGGGCCACACATGGTCGGCGGGAAAACCCGCAGCGGATCTCTAACCGGGCCAGGAGAGAGAGAGGGGTGGCGCGGATCCGGACCGGGCGAACACCGGTGCTCTGTGTCAGGGGGGGAGGAGGGGAGTGGATACACAGCAACACCTCCAACAACTGGAGTACATTATATTGTATTTATGTATATAGATATATGTTTTTAAATAGCGAAATAACCTGTTCCATTATTGTACCCAACCTTTTCTATCATTTAGTGGACTGGCGACCCCCTGACTAAAAGATATTTATTATGGATATTTCATATTATATTCAAAAACTTGTACAATGAAATCAGAATCAGAAATACTTTAATAACACAAACAGTAAGAAGTTTGTGTGAATTTTGAGCACATTATTTTCTGTTTAGGGATGTTTTTTATATAATTATCAATAAATTAGCATTTTTAAAATCATTTTTAACAATCATACATATGTAATTAGCTTTTTTTGTTGTTGACAAATTCGTTTTTTTTCTCGTCCCAGACACTTGGCCATTGTTCTTTCTCTGTTTTTCTTAACAGAAGGGAACCAAATGCTGAGATATATGTCACCTACTGTTTATATTTTTCAAGTTTTGTCATTGTTTGCCTAATTGAATATAGATTTAAATATTACATAATTATTTTCTTGATTTAGTTTTTTGTCTATAAAACGACAAGAAATAGTTAAAATGCACATTATGATTTACCAACATTGCAGGACTACTGATGTAACAATAGTAAAAAATAAACTCTACTCACGATTCAATACAATCCACATTAGATTCAAGTCAAATTATATAGTTTCTTTTATTTCTCAGACAAAAATCTACATATTATTTCTCGTATATTTTCTTCATCAAATTAAAAAATCCTTTTTTATTTCCGATGTAGGATATAAACAATGAAATTTCATGAATTTCATATATCTTTACATGTCTATCCAAAGCCCCAAAAAAATCAGTTTCATATCATATATGACAAAGAAAAGCAGATAATTCTCACCTTTGAGAAAGTGAATATCAAGATTGATTGGCATGTTTGCTGTTAACTGATTATAATATAGTTGCAGGTTAATTTTCTTTGATTTCTTTCTTTGACATTTTTAAGATTAGAGGCTGTCGGTTAGTTATTTCTTTGGCACGTGAGGTTTTTATGCAGTAATCTCTCAACCAACAAACAAAATCCATTCATATTTCTTATCATATAAAGACTAACCTTGATTTAAGTGGCTTCACACATACTGTATACGTAATAAAGAGTAGTGTCTGAATGTGTACATGTGGATTATATGAAGAGATGGCAAAGCCGCAGCTGAAATATGAAAGATTTAGATTAGAATATGAGATCTTTACAGGGTTAAAAAATAAACTCTAAACACATCTTAAGCATCATGTCAGTATGTGATAAGCTACTAACTGATTTATCAGTCGGGCTAATTATGAGACATTTGCTTAAACAATTGGTTTGTTTTTTAAAGACAGAAACTGCCCCCCCCCCCAGAAAGCAACTTTTCTATGAAAAATACACAAAGCAATTGGGAATCAAACCCCAGCAATGTTAAAAAAAAACGCTGCATTTGATACTTCAGATGATACAGTCTTTACAATATCCCAACTTGCACTCATGCTGAACCAAGCAGCATGTAACACTTGATCACCTGAGGCAAACCAGCACCAACGGCAACAGGATAACATGCAACTATTCCTTAATGATGTTTTAATAGATGACATGAGATTTGTGGGCCTGCCTGCAGACAGCAAGGTACACATAGTTCCCTCAGTTTTGCATAGCAAATGTACTTGTAATAAAACCTGTCCTATTGTCGGAACAAAATACCTGGAAGTCCTTCACTTACAGGATGTCTGAACGCCGCCACAGTTCTTACCGCAACAACTGACTTATAATAGATTAGAATAGAGGAGAACATTTGCTTCTTGTTTATCAGATAGGGGTGCAGCTTGTGTGCTTGGATGGCTACACACTGGTCTACTCTGCTAAGAGCTTGTGGAGCAGGCTTGTTGTTAATCTGAGGAATGTTGTTACCCAGTGAACAGAGTAAATGAGGTCTTAGTGAGATTAAATGTCACAGGTCTGAAGGACTAAGGGTTGTGGAATCTAGTCAAAACAGATCTCTTTGTGGTAGTCACGCTGTCTGACGCCAACTGGAGGCACACACATGCAGTCTTATTCTCTTCACACCTTCTAGTTCCTCTTAGGTACTGTACATAACACCAGTTTCTTTTTTTTTTTCAGTGGGAGTAGAGGAAGTCAAGTGAATGGCTTTTTATCCCACTAACCTACCTAGAGTGCTGTTATGAGTCTACACATGCAGCACTTGTGCAGCACTACAGCCGTGCTCCTGCTCTGTTGTACTACGACTTCATTTCAGTAGGTGGCACTAAAAATAGCTCCAGCCAATTCACTTACTCCAAATGTCAAACAGGGACAAAGGGATACAACGTTGTGAATAAATAGGATTAAATCTGACCAGAGAGGCAAGCGTAGGGAGCTTTGGGCTATGTCAAATAAATCTAATGTGATTCTGTCAGCATGTAATGAGTATTTTGAGGTTGTAAGGAGTCTTAGGTAAAGCTTCCTTCATATGATGACTGCAAATTAAGAATTGTAAATCAAATATGTTTTTTTTTTCCCTAAACAGTCTCTGTCGCTCACAAAGGCAGTACTCTGCACTGGGAACATGGATATGGTAAAGCTGTTGACAACACGTTTATCGCAGGCTCTGGGGCAGAATTGGGATGTTTTCCACCTGGTATTAGGTCGTTTATTGAGACTGGAGGATATGCAGATATGCAAATGGAACAAAGATGGTTGTAGATTGACAGTTGAAGAAAAAAACTACAGGATCAGCTCTCAGATAAGTGAATGTTTTACCTCAAGCCCCTAAATGTCCCATTTTATATCTTTTTTTTCTAGCAAAACAGCAGATATCCATGTATAAAATTGTGAGCAGTGGCGCAACAAGAGACATGCATTTCCCTTTAACCTCTTCTGTTCCTTCAGATTCATAAAGGTATTGAACGTATGATGGATACAGATGCTTCCATACAGGGCACAAGGGTTCAGCAAATGACACTTGACAAATTCTCATCAAAAATGATCTTCCAGCACTTTATTACTGCCTCACTATATAAAACACTTACCAAGGTGACCTTTCTATCTTGGAAACTACACTTTCCTGTCTTTATAGTGTCAAAATACAGACAGTATTTTGACACTATAAAGACAGTCTTTTCTGGGATTTGGGGGTGATATTTTAAAATAGAAAGGCAGCAAGACCCATTCTCATATTTCTTGTCTAATTGTACAAATATTTATGCATTTCTAGTAACCTAATATTTGCATTTACATCATTTAGTCAGAAAAATGTCCCAAAACAGGAGCTTTGGGCCCCCTGAAACCAAATGCTTGCTATCAACTTGTGATGGCCTCAAGGTATATGCTGACAGTATAGTG